GCCTCTTGCAGGTGAACCTCGGGCAACTTGCCCGAGTTGCACGGCCAGCCAAGTAGCCTACCTTCGTAGTCTTTTCTTTGTTTTTTTTTTTTTTTTTTTCCCTTAGTAGTCTTTTCAATTCCTTTTTTTTTCCCCAAAAAATCTGTGCTGAAGAACCTTGTTATTTGTCAAAAGCAGGCAAAAGCATGAAATGCCAAGCAAGAAGCCACAGATGGAATTTCTTCTTTTTTCTCCCTCTTTTTTTTTTTTTTTTTTAAAGGGTGACGGCCTTGAGATATCGTCATTGAGCTGACCGGCCCGATGTTATTCAGAAATGTTGTTTCAATCATCTGATTCCATCATCATGTGGATTCAAACTTGGGTCTGCATTTCAACAGTTCTTGGGTGTACACAACTGAGCTAGGCTCGTTGCCAGATGCAATTTCTGCTCATATCAACACACTGGTATTAGGAACAGCCTGCCCAGCGTTCAGCTTAAAAAAAAAAAAAAAAAAAAAAAAGGCGCACCTTCAAGAAAAAAATGTCGGCACACTGCATGCAAGGATAAAATATTTGTGCTGCTGACAGATCGTCGGTGTCATTTCTTCCCATAATTTGTGAACACCTGCAGACAGGGAAAGAGAACAAAAGACCCCCCCCCCCAAAAAAAAAGGGCAAAGGAGAGGACAGAGCATATCAGAAAAAGCATACACACGTGCACATACACATACAGTATCGCACTCCGCAAAACTTTCGGAGGACAACAGCCATGGGATGCGTCTTGATGGCTGCAGAAAGACAAGGGCAAAACTGTGCATAGTCCAAGCTGAATGGAGGAGAAGAGACACACACACACACACACACACACACAGAGAGAGAGAGAGAGAGAGAGAGAGAGAGAGAGAGAGAGAGAGAGAAACTGCCCCACAGTATTATACCTGATGGCTGATCCAGTGGCTGTCTTACAAGTCACAGTGAGAAACTCACACATGGAGTTGCATGGTGAGTGGACACTCGGCAGGTTCCCTCGACCTTTTTTCCTTAGATTGAAAAAGAATTATATAAACAGTTTGTCACAGCCCTCCCCTCGTTTGTTGTCCTCTTCTCCCTCTTGTCCCTCTCTGCCTACGGTTTACCGGTCAGATCTCCTTGACCATATATATCGTCAAACAGAGCTGCCCGGTATATATTTACATATATAGACATGTATATATAGTCAAACAGAGCTGCCCGGTAGACCATAGGCAGAGAGGGAGAAGAGCACAACAAACAAGGGGCTGTGACAAACTATGTTTGACGATATGTATATATAGATATAGATATCGTCACATGAATATCAGATATATACCGTCAAACAGAGCTGCCCGGCAAACCGTAGGCAGAGAGGGAGAAGAGGACAACAAACGAGGGCTGTGACAAACTGTTTTGTCTGAGTTTCAAGTGTGCCGCTTCCGCAGCAGACCGGTGTGTGGGCACATCCCGCTCAACCACACAAACGTGGGGAATCTTGCATTTTCTATTACATTGCCCGTTTATACTTCTTTTGTTTTTTTATGGACGGTTTGTGATGGCTTGTAGATGGAATGCGAGACAGAGAGAGAGAGAGAGAGAGAGAGAGAGAGAGAGAAAGTTTGGGGTTTCTCGACAACACACACACACACACACACACACACACACACACACACACACACCCACACCCACACACACACACAATAATGCAGGCAGTGTACACAAACCTGACAATGCGAGCAAGATTATTGCGTCTGGCAATATCCATAACCAGTGGCCAGTACTCTGCAGCGCCTTTGTTGATCTCGTCCGAGGACCAGAGGAATTGCACCCGACTCTGGTCCATCCCGACTGCCTTCCAAACCTCAATCATGTACTCCCCAACGGTCCGAATCTTCTTCAGATCCCCTCCCATCTTGTGATTCAACTGCGCGAACCAATCTGCAACCCAGAATTTGAAAATGCAGCCTGCCCTCGTCAGCTTGTTGACATTGAGTGCCTTCATCACACCCTGCAGAAAATAGTGTGGGCCACAAACAGACACACAGAAAGAGCACCGAGGATGCCAAAACTTGTTTGATAAGGGATCAAAGATTTGAACAATACACCAATTTTAAAAATAAACTCAATTGGTCTTCCTCTAGGGGGACCAAAAAAAAAAAGGAGAGTTGCACTCGATACGCCTGAGAGTGTTTCTTTGATTCGGGCCCCTTCCAAAAGCTCAACAATGGCTACTACATCTCCTCCTCCTCCTCCTCCTCCTTGTCTCCTTTTCCTTTCTACAACTACTTCTTCTTCTTCTTCTTCTTCTTCTTCTTCTTTCTGCAACTGTCTTCTTCTTCTTCGTTGTCGTCTTTGTCTTCTTCTTCTTCGTTGTCATCTTTGTCTTCTTCTTCTTTTTCTTCTTCCTCTTCTTCTCTCGTCTCTTGATTATGCACAAACTTGCAAAGTCTTCCACCTGTGACAACGAAGTTCAAAAAAGGTGTTTAGAAACACAAAGTAGCTCTAAATAACTACGACTAGTACATTTCCCAGCCATTTGCGGAAGCGCGCCGTGCATGCAGGCACATCAGGCGGGTGTACCGGGTGCCTTTTCGCCGGAAATCCATTGAGGAAAAACGGGTCGCGTGCGGGGCCCAATTTGCCTGGATGCATTTCGGGCGAAACGGCTCCTGGGTATATACCGCCCGACGCGCCTGCATGCACGACGCCTTTCTGCAAAATGGCGGGGAAACATACTTAAAGTTTAGAAGTAGAGGTAAGGACAAGAGTGTAAGGGTAAGACCTAGGGTAAGAACTAGGGTAAGACCTAGGGTAAGAACTAGGGTAAGAACTAGGGTAAGAACTAGGGTAAGAACTAGGGTAGGGATAAGGGTGGTAAGGAGTAGGGTAAGGAAGAGGGTAAGGACAAGGGTAAGGACAAGGGTAAGGACAAGGGTAAGGACAAGGGTAAGGACAAGGGTAAGGTAAGGACAGGGGTAGGAACTAGGGTACGGAGTAGGGTAAGGAGTAGGGTAGGGATAAGGGTGGTAAGGTGTAGGGTAAGGAAGAGGGTAAGGAAGAGGGTAAGGAAGAGGGTAAGGAAGAGGGTAAGGTAAGGGCAAGGGTAAGAACTAGGGTAAGAACTAGGGTAAGGAGTAGGGTAAGGACAAGGGTAAGGACAACGCTAAGGACAACGCTAAGGACAAGGCTAAGGACAAGGCTAAGGACAAGGGTAAGGACAAGGGTAAGGTAAGGACAGGGGCAGGAACTAGGGTACAGAGTAGGGTAAGGAGTAGGGTAGGGATAAGGGTGGTAAGGAGTAGGGTAAGGAGTAGGGTAAGGAACAGGGCAAGGAAGAGGGTAAGGTAAGGGCAAGGGTAAGAACTAGGGTAAGAACTAGGGTAAGAACTAGGGTAAGGAGTAGGGTAGGGATAAGGGTGGTAAGGAGTAGAGTAAGGAAGAGGGTAAGGACAAGCGTAAGGATAATTGTGAAAGAGCTAAAAGGTAAATGGAGACTGTAGAGTCTTGAGCGACCACCGTGAGCCAATAGAGATCTAACCTGCGCTATGTGCATTCTCCCAGATGGTTCGAACCCATCATAACAGACAGGGTCTTTCTTCTTCTCCAACAGATTTCGCAGTTCTTCATCCTGTATACATTCTTCTCCGACGCTTCTCGCCAATGCATACCGCTCATCTAGTGTCAACCTGCATCACGACCGAAGAAGGTGGACACGTTCGTTAGTCATCCTTCGTCGGCTCTAACGACATCTGTGTTCCCCCGGATGGGTTCGAACCCATCTGGGGGAACCCATCGTAACAAATCGCCAGCGTAAGGGAAGGGGGGCAGCGAAGGGAGGGACAGAGGAGAGAGAAGGAAAGGTAAAGAAGTTTGTTTCATCCTTCGTTGCTCTTTTTTTTTGTACCTTTTGTTATTGGTGCTTCTCTTTTTCCTGTCCCCCGCAACATCAGTGTTACTCTGATTGTTTGACTCGTAATCTGTGCCCCTTGTTTAGTTGCACATGTTCCAGATCCTTTGCCGGCTTGTATTTTTTTGCTTCCCTGCATGATTAGCTGTTGTGGACTCCTGACTTGATTGGTTGCTTCGTTTCGTTGCTGCATTGGTGCCTTCATTGATGACTTCCTTGATTGATTGCTTGATCAGTGCCTTGATTGATTGTTTGATTGCTGCGTTGATTGATTGCTTGATTGCTGCCTTG